TGGATAAACTTTCTCAGATTCCATCAGTGTCGGCAAACAGCTCCACAACTGTCAGAGCAACACTGAACTATTATGAGCTCTGTGGAAAATTCTGGGAGAATACTCACGGGTTGTTGGACTGTTTGTCCTGATTATCTGAGCATTGTGGGGGGTCTCTTTTGTAAAACAAACAAAGCTTGCTCCTAGAGGGAAATATTCTAAAAACTAATTTCCTGGAAGTTTGAAAAGTGTAGAATGTAGAGGGCTATAGTGCCACCAGAATAAGATATTTTGTGAGAAATCATAGCTCTATAAATGACAGTAACTGTAAACTTAAATGGGCCTATACAGATAAGTGAGCGTCCCACCTTTATGGCTCAGTACAATCAGGAATGCTAAATAACTAACTAGACAGATGGGTTGTCCACCTACTGCATGGTCATAGACTTGTTTCCCTGCTTCCTTCGTCCCATTTTTTGGCTGATGCAACATGCTGAATTGGTAAAAAGGCTGTTAAGCAGAGTGAAAGAGCTTTTTGAAAAAATAATGTGGATTTTTGTGTTTTTCTTTTTTATACATGATGCTTAAATGTTTCGGAGGAGCACATGCAAAAATATTAATGTGTGGAAATCAGAGAAAGTTGTTTCTTTGAAATAGTACAATCTCTAACCTAATGTTTGAAGAGATATTTTACATTATTCTTTTCTGTTTCTGTCACTGTCACTGAAGTGGTATTTCTGTAAACGGTATTGCTTCTTCTTTTTTAACTGGACATTTTCTGGCATTCTGTTAGTCTGAACTGTTCGGGGATTACCTTCGACACAAGGCGTAGCTCTCCCGATGACTTTGAAATTATTTTACTGGCTTGTGCAAATGTACACATGGAGTACATCCGGATTTGTGTATGCACATTGTTAAAATTCTGATGTACTTTGTGGCACAGTGACAGGCTGCACAGTAGCAGCCTCAGTAGCTTACAATAGATCGCGTGGGAGCTGCTGGTTTGGATGCTTCCCTTTTGTTTATTTTAGCGCTTGTTGCAACTTTCATCCCATCCTTTCTACCTGTTGCTGTCACATTAAACACATAAGGCGTTACCTGCTGGTGCTTTGAAACTATTTGAAACATACATAGGTTGAAGAACCTTGAAGGCTGTGCTTGCTTTGTTTCACTAAGTCCTTACAGTTTCTCAGGAGTGCGTTGTGTGTCCCACTTGTGCGCGTTCAGCTTCATCCCTCTCCCAAATGTTGAGGCCTGTGTGTGGGAATTTGCATGTCCATATCGTGTTTACCCTCTGTTTTGCCAATCAAATGATCCACAATTGCTTATCCCTACACACACACAGACACAGACACATGAATCTTTCTGGAAGGCAGAGAGTGAAATCAGAGGTGCAGGATTTTTTTTTTTGGTGGACATAGGGACAGACGTCGGGCAGATCATCATTCCTGCTGGTTTGTCCGGCTGACTGAGAGAGTGCTTATGATGTGGTCTACATGGCTGTGCTCAATATGGAGTGTTGCTGTGTCAGTTGGAGCCATCTTTATCATTGCCATCATCCACCTCTGCAGCCACCCTCAGGTACCTTCACCTACGCAGGAGGCTTTACTTTTGTTTCTGTCAGGACTCAAATTTACTGCCTTAGAAAGCTTTTATACCTGGATTTAGTTCTTGCTTGACCATGTATGACGGATCCACTCTAGTAAGATTTATTGGGCTACACTAATGCCCTTAGTACCACTGTTATAGCTGAAGTCTTTTATTCTATTTGTTTTTAGAAGTGCAGACTTCTCCTCTCCTGACTGACAAATACTTTTAATGGCTCCAGCTTCTAAATCCACACACTGTGACAATATCTGCTAATTACTCACACTTGAGGCAGTGCAGGCTGTCGGCCTTCACAGCTTGCACATTCCATCTTTTGGGGGACAGCACGGCAGAAAAATGGCATAGTGAGCTGACAGACCGAGGCTGCTCACCAAGCTACCGCCGGGGCTTTTGCTCTCCAGCTAACTGTCTAAAAATAGTGAGACAAAATGTGAAAAGTGGAGGATGTTGTTATTTCGAAAAGCAGAAGGCATCAATATTCTACTTCGACACAATGCAATTTCCTGCGTCTGGGCTAAAATTCTGTCCGTATATGAGTGAAAGCATAGCATTCTGCAGAATGATTTTAAAAGCATGCCTGCAAGGTGATTTTCTTTTAGAGTTAGACCCTGATGTTCTCAACGCATGAGCCTAGACTTTCCGCTTATTTCAGCTGACCTCACTTTTAATGAGTTTCCATCATGCGGTTTCTACACACTTGACTGTGTCTTTTTTGCAATCTGGAGAAGCTGAGTCTTTTTCTCAATCCTCCACTGGTGCAGAGAAAGAAAAAACACCCTCCGCGCCTCATCCAGACTGAGAGTTGTGTGCGTGCATGCATCTAACCATAGATAGTCATGATATCAGCTGATGAAATTTCATCAGGTCCAGATTATGTGGCACGGGTTAAATGTTTCCTTCTATGGTGCTCTTCTCTCTTATCTCACCCCTTCCTGCTCCTTACTTCTCCAGTTTCTGCTCTTCTTCTACCCACAAGTTATTTGTAGACATAATATTATTTCTCCTGATGTTTTCAGACCAGTGGAAATTTTCCGTGTGTGAGATCATCTTTAACAATGGAGGTTCAGTTGCCGTATAACAAGACATCTAAGGGGAAAGATTTAATTTTTTTTCCACATCAAAACATCCTTAAAAGTTTGGGATTTTTCTGCAGCTGCATCCACTGATTCATCGGTCTCAGTGTTGTACAGACAAGCATTGTTTGAACCCACAGAATAAGACATGTGCAATTTTTCCATCTGATGTAATGCTGTTGGCACTGGAAATTTTCTAGGATTTCAGTATTTTTGATCTATATCATCTGCTTCATTGAGTGAAGTAGAAAAAAGATCTTATAAAGAATTTATAAACCAGTACTAAAGAATACTCTCAATCATGTGGGAAGAGTTTCATTGGTATCGTTTCTGTGAGGAGTTTGTATATTCTCCTAGTGTATGTGTGTGCTTCCTCCCACCATCCAAAAACATGCATGTTAAGTTAATTGGTGATTTGAAATTTCCTGGTGGAATGAATGTGAGTTTGTGTGGCCCTGCGATGAACTGGTGTGTACCCCGGCTCTCACCCAGTGACGGCTGGTCTTTTAGAAGGACAAAATAGATTTAGCTGTCTTTGTTGTCAAAATGCTGTACTATGTTTCACAGGATTGTTACACAGAATTAAACAAACAAGCATGTACACGGGCCTGTCCTCCTGCACTTCCACAGCAGCTAAATATTAACACGGCTTGTTGAAGGAATGTCTGTCACAAAGGTCAAAGGGGCTGAAAAACAAAGAAATAACAAAAAGAACTGGACTTGAATCAGAGAAAAGCACTTTATGTTGAGACAACAAGGCTGTGTGTGCGCCTCCATTTGTGAATGAGTGTCTGTGTGTGGCAGGACTCCACTGTTCAGCGTGTCTTTGCCAGGGACTGAAGGAGCCTTTGGTGAACCGCTTTGTCTATTTGTATGTGTGTGTGTATGTGTGTGTGTCACCAGGGGAAACCCCTGACTCCAGAGTTTAGTTAAAATGTTATAAAACAGCAAAAGAAAAAAAGAAAAGAGAGAGTGAGAGTGTGGGAGAACCACATAGCTCCCCAGGGTCAGGGATACCCAACCGTGTGTGTATGTGTTTGTGTGTGTTTGTTGGTGTGTGTTTGTATCTGTTTTGAAGACTGCTTTTGTTTGGGGCAATTAAAGATAGCTGCAAAGAGCAGCGCATTGGCTTAGAGGCTCAGGGGAAAACAGAAATTAGTTTTTTCCCTTTATGTGATTCAGCAGCTGCATCTCTTTCATCATCAGAAGTTCCACTTTCACAAAACAGATTTTAATATGACACTGACCCATGGATTACGCAGACAGCTGGCTTTAAACTGCTGAATGGCTGGAAACAGGTTGACGTAAACAGACAACTGCACGGAAAAGGAGCTGGAAGAGTAAAATAAATCAATTAATCCTTTTTTTATTTGGGGATAAACAAGCTCACATCCGATATTTGTTCAGAAGATTGTCAGAAACCATTGCTTCCTTTTTATGTCAGATCTATCAAACTATTCCTATGTTACTGACACAAACATAATCTTTTCTCTCCAGTTATACCTCTGTCCTTTATAAAAGATGAGAGCAGTCACTATTCTGGTTTGACAAGAGACAAGAGAGTAGAGCTGCTCGCTCGACTGATACAAAAGCCACGTTGTATCTCTGACTTCTATCTGTTGTTTGATGAGATCATTTACAGAGGCCATATGCACATCCGTTAGAGTGACTGATGCTAGAAAAACCACCATGACTTGTGAGTTATTGACCTAGTATTCCATGCGAGAGATGCTGATAAATCTTTAATGAGGGTTAATTGGATTTTGTGGCCAGCAACAAGGTTGTTTTTTTAGTCTTCCCGACTATCTCAACCTCCACCATTCCAGTCAACTGCCATTCCTTTGGGATTGAGTGTACAGTAACTTAGATTTGAAAAAGGGTGTTGATATAGAGGTGTGATGATTTTCTTGCATGAGGGTGAGATCTCACTGCTCCTGAGCTGTGCGTCGTGGGAGGTGGTCTGTATGCACATGCATATTTATCCATGCTGTTTGCGCCAAGTAAACTACCAGATTTTCGCCCGTGAAATACATTCTTCAGCTTAAAAGCTACTCCACCACTCTGATGGGATCAGAGTGAAGCAATAAAAACCTGTAAAAACTCTGCAAGGTTTGGTATTGTTTATGTTGTTCTGAGATCCAGCTTTTAAATTTACATAGCTTGGACTTTCCACATGTAAATGGACAAAAGCCCAAGCAATCCACTGACGGCCTAAAGTCTTATAAAAGTGATACAATTGCTTGAATAACCCTTCTTTTTTTTATTTCAATGATGGAGAATCTGGTTTGAAAGCATGAATATTTGGCTGCTCACTGTGATTTTGTTCATGCGTATTTGCAGCAAAAGTCTTGGAAGAAGATAAAGAACATGGTCCACTGGTCACCATTTGTCATGTCCTTCAAGAAGAAATATCCCTGGATACAACTGGCAGGACACGCAGGTATGTGGACAAACACTCACATCCATCACAATTATGTGAGCAAGCATAAAACCCTTCTTTCAATCCCATGGCAGAGGGTTTGAAGGTCAAACACAGAGCTCAGGTAAAACCCTAAAAGCCGCGTCACATCAACCTGACAGGTGTGACCCACAAAGTTAGCGGTTTGGTTGATTGGGGTCTATTTGTGCAGAGCAGCTTCTGTCTGTCACATTGTTCATTTTTACTCTGAAACCTGGTGATGGCAATTAGGGAGAGGATTTCCATGACTGAAAACACAAATAATGATTTTACTTTTTTGGGAAACATCCAGGAATGCCTTTATTGACTCTTTTTTCCACAGTAAAACTTTTTCTTTTTGCAGGGAGCTTCAAGGCGGGAGCAAACGGACGCATATTAAAGGTAAGCCACCCTATTGACCAGCAGTGTGCTCTGTCTCTTCTGTGTTTGAGAAGCCTTCTCATATCTTTGATACGGAGCCGGTGAAGCCAGCATCATAAAAAGATAATCTGTTAATGATGTCTCACAGAAACACTGCGACTGTGAGCAGCGCTGTTTGTCCCTCCTGATGAAGGACGTGCTTCGCCCGTACGTCCCAGGTTACCATGGAGACGTGGAGAAGGATGGCCAAAAATACAACCAGATGGAGGATCTACTGGCTGAGTTTGACTTTCCATGTGTGATGGACTGTAAGATGGGCATAAGGTGAGAGAACACACTCAACAATGGGAAGTAAAAAAAAAACCTTACAGAAAACAGATGATTAGATTTGAAGATAACAGTTTTTTGGGGGGTTGGGGTTTGGGTTGGACAGACATGTTTTAATGATGTTTAGATATCTGTTGCTGCTTTGGAATGAGCAATGCGATTAATGTTAGTAAGGCATTATAAATGCTGTTTAAAGGATGTTATGGAGCAAAAATCTTAAGATTGCTGCTCGTGTTTGGAAGAAAAATCCTTTTCTTCATCTTCGTTTTCCTCTTCCCTGCTCATCTCTGCCTCCTACTTGTCATGTCTCTCACCTTTTCTGTCTTTGCCTCTGTTACCTTCGCTACCCGTTAACAATCTGTTTCTCACTCCTCAGGACCTATTTAGAGGAAGAACTGACCAAAGCTCGTAAGAAGCCCTCTCCAAGACCTGACATGTATCAGAAAATGATAGAGGTTGATCCCAAAGCGCCTACATTTGAGGAGAACGACCAGAAGGCAGTGACCAAACCAAGGTACATGCAGTGGAGGGAGACCATAAGCTCAACCGCTACCCTGGGATTCAGGATAGAGGGAGTCAAGGTAAGACTCACACAGAAATAGGTGCACGTACAACCTTCCTTCCCTACTTTCTTCTAGTCGTCTGCTGTGTGGGTGTTTTAGGGGCATGATCTAACTTCCTGTTTTGCCCAGAAACTTCCTCTGAAGTACTTGTGTGTGCACGGGGCCTGTCAGTGGCAGCTACATAGGCCTCGGCATATGTTCCTGACATGGACTGCGCACTCACAAATCTCTTTTGTCTCTTTGAGGGTGATGGCTATATAAGGACTTTCACAGCCTCCCGGTGGGTCCGTTGCCGTGACACTGAGGGTTGTCCCCATGAACAGAGTGTGTGTGTGCGCGTGTGTTCATGTTTACTTGATTCCCTTCACTGCAAAGCTGAACATGTGTCCATGTCTGTAGCTACTGTATGGGTTTCTAATGTGAGTGGAAATCATTGCTTAATCGTGGATAATCTGTGACTGTGACAGAGGGAGACGGAGAGACTCCTCTACTCAGTCTTAAACCATAAAGGGAAAAAATGTTTTGTCTCTAAATAGTACCTTGTTGCCTGGCAGCGAGCAGAATGAGAAAAGCTCATTTATTCCACACACCAAACTACCAAACTGGGTGACCATCACTATGTATCACTGCTGCTAAGGCCACAACTCAGTTACATGCAACACTGGTGTCACATTTCTCTTTTCCAAAGGGAGTGATAGATTTAAAGGGCTCTTTTGCCTTTGATTTTGATAATTGTGCTTTCAAATTTTGTAGGACAAAAGAAAGACGCCTTGTTACCGGGACTCCATAGACAGCCTTGTGTGTTGTGTTCATGTTCCAACACAATGAAGGAGAGACTGCAGAAGCTCAGACACTTATTGGATTGCAAGAGTTTATTAACAGAAAAGTTGGAAAGTCAAAGCCAGGAAACGTACCACCTTGAAATCTAGGAAGTGGAAAGTTTGGTGTTTTGAAAGTAGTTATTGTGTAGTTGTCCAGGTCAGGATCACAGAGTCAGAGACCCTGCCCTCTTTTCAGGCTAAATGTCTAAATATATGTCTCCTTCCTCCTTACATTGTTCTCCTTTTCTCCTCCATCCTCTCCTTTGTCCCGTCTCCTTCCCACCTCTTCCATCTTCTCAACTTAGCCCATGAAGCTGTGTTAAAGCGTTAAAATAGAATGTAGAAAATGATAATGCTCCTTATATTGTGTTGCCCACAATGGGTGTTTAGAGTGCACATAAACCACCTAAACCATCTAATTTTCTCAACAGTATCAGTTCTTACGCTAACATGCTTCTCATATCCTCAACAGAAGGAGGACGGGACGGTGAACAGAGATTTTAAAAAGACAAAGACAAGAGAGCAAGTCACTGCTGCCTTCCATGACTTTGTTAAAGGCAACAAAGATGTTCTGGTTAGTATGTTTGGAGTTTGCTGCCTTTGCGACCCAGCCTGAACCATTATGTGTCAGATCAACAGACGAGGAGTGGAATTGAAAGCTGATCTGTTTTACTAACCCTGTAGAACGTAGAAGATTGATATTACAAGCTTGACTTTAATTTACAAGCTCTTAACGGTAAACAGCTGGGTGCCCACAGTTTGACAGTGTGATGTCCCCATTATAAAAGCAATACAGGCACAGTATTTGCATTTTATATGAGTAACAGAACAAGGCGTGAAAGTCTGTGTTAAATTATTTATTTATCAAATTACAGAACTGTTATCTAACGAGACTAAAAGAAATCAGAGACATTCTGGAGGTCTCCCCATTCTTCAAAACCCATGAGGTAAACACACACTCACCGCACTGGACCTTCATTTCTCACAAAAGCGCACTAATACAAACTTTCTTCATATCTATAGATATATACATGCACAATATGATAAATGTTAACTCTTGGATATAAGATATTTTTGGGGGTTTCGCCTGAAAAACACAATGGCCACATTGTGGTTGGAACATTCTATATGAGTGAAAAGAAATTAGAACCAACATCCAGCCAGAACATGTTCTACAAAGTAACGTGTCTTTAAAATAGTTCTGTTTCTTAACTGTTTATTACACCGTGGCTCCCTGCCGCAAGTTAGTGTATAACTTTGTGCCACCACTTCACACTCAAACAAAGCAAGTCTTGTCATGGAAATTAGACTTCAGCAGCCTGACCACATATCAGACATTCAGTTTAACACTCCAATGAAGGCAAGCTCACATACATGAACGTGATGTCACAAAACAGGAAGTGAGATATTGTTTTGAAAATACACAAGCGGCCATTTAAAGTTGGGGCCAAATCAGAGAGAGCCCTGTTTGAGCTATTATTTCCTCTTTTCTCATTCATCCTGTCTTTGTGTGCGTCTGTGTGTGTTCATGCAGGTGATTGGCAGCTCCTTGTTATTCGTTCATGACAATAAAGGACGTGCCAAAGTGTGGATGATAGATTTTGGGAAAACAACGCCGCTTCCCGAAGGGGAGGAATTGACCCACCGAGCATCATGGATGGAGGGAAACCGAGAAGACGGCTACCTTTTTGGACTTGACAGTTTGTTGGACATCATTTCATCAATGGTGAACTCTGAAACTTGAAGTCCAAGGGTTATTAAACCCGAGGGAACATTTGAACACGTGGCCACTTCCACTCATTCTTTATCCCTCCGGGGAACACTTTGGACTTCCTCAAGGACTTGTTGAACTTTTGGTGGAAACCACATCTTCTTAAACCATGGCATGGCCGGATCCTTTTGGGTCTGCTGAATAGTCGTAATGGGACAAAGGACAAGTCGAACATTAACAATAGCTTAATTCCCCACAAATTTGTTACTCCTAAGTTTTTATGTTGTGATATCAAATGTGAAATATGTCCATCTGTTACACCCTTAATTCCTGCAGATGAATTGAAGGCATTTAAGACCAAAAATAATTTACATCAACATTTGAAGACTGTTTATAGGGAATGTTTCTATGTAAATAAATCCCATGGAAAGGCCAAAGCCAGACTTGTGCTCATGAGACATAAAGTGAGCAGTCCCCGCACTGATTACAAAACATTTCAGGGGGTTACATCTGCTTTGGTCTTGCATGGAATTAATTTATTCAATATGAAAATATAAATGCACAGATTGTCCGCAGATATATGGACTCTCACATATGTGTAAAAAATTCATTTCTTATTCATTTCGCTGAATGTTCTCCACATCAACACTGATATTATTCTGTTTTTTAAAGGTCCCACAATTAATTATTTGATCCAAAATGACAATCTCGAAGATTACCACCCTTATTTATGTGGCCTACAATGCTGCACATTGCTATCGCTATGCCATTTGGTGATACCAAACCTTTGGGAGAAACAACCAGTCTTTCACTGTCTCACAGCTGTTATGTAGCAGACAAAATTACTACCAAACTTAGATAAAAACAGTCAGAATCCCAGAGAAATCATTTGTCTGAGACAAAATCACAAACTTCCAATCCACCTAGTTTTTCTCATTTGCTCTCAAATCTTCAAGATTGTCATTGTAAATCCCTCGACTTGGCTCCACCCCTGGCCCTACACCTCGGTGGTATTTGGCCCCAAGCTTTATTTCTGAAAAATGTCTTTACTTTGCGTCTATTTGAAAATAGTTTGAACACATTTCCTATCTCTTAAAAAATATGCACTTATTACACTTTTTTGTGGTTGGATTAAGTGTGTTTTCACTAATCAGATTTAAGCTGTTTTAAAAGGAGAAAAAAGGCTGTTTGCTGTTTTGCCATTCCCATTCAGAAGCGTAGACTAGATGCTGTACATTGTTCATGCTTGCTTCACAGAATCCTGGCAGTAAAAAACAGATAGTAAAAAACTCCCACAGCAGTGGCTTTATTTTGTGATGGGTATTGTTTTGCCTGTAACATATTTTCAGCATTTTTAGAGCTTTTGTTGTCAAACACTCACACATTTGCCTCACTTTGAATGCTCACACTGTACAGTAACATTTATTTAGTTAGTTTTTCTTTTAAATAACATTATTGTAGTGAAATCTTGTGGAACACTTACAGCCATGAACAATCTTATTTAAGCTACACAGTGCCTTGACATAACAAAGCCAAGTCAGACAACTGAAAATAAGTCTCTGAACATTCTGACTATTTTAATTCTAGTCCTAAATGTGGGTTTTTGTGTTTAGTCTAACAAGAATGTGCATGTTTATTATCCAATATAAAGTTTGTTCTTAATTTGTAGTTTGCTCTGCTTTTATTTAAACCATAATATCCTCTGTTTTAGTCAACTGGACGCTGTGACGTTTTGATTTCTGGGTTGTAAGCTTGTTTTCTCCTCAGGCATATGTTACAACATGAATGGAAGTAAAAGTGTAGGACTTCCCACATTCAAGAAAGACGGCGTTTAAAATAAGTTAATGTTGTTGTACAACTCGGTGAAGGCATTTGTACCGAATGATAATGCTGGTTATTTAAGCGGTGGTTGTGCAGAGGAGAAAGAAATGCATCATAATGTAACAAGTTCTTGATGAACAATAAAAACTAAACTTTCACTTTGTCATTCATTTAAAAGGCCGTTGCTCTCATTGTGGAGGTCGCTCTGACTGTAAATGAGGATACAACTAACTCTATGTTGTGCCTTCTTAAAGAGACTATCTATCTATCTATCTATCTATCTATCTATCTATCTATCTATCTA